GATAGCCAGGAGGTCTCTTCTGGAAAGAGAGAGCTAAAAATCTCAGTGGGGCGTTACCTGGTAAAATTATGTCGGTGTCTCTTCAGCCTACAAACACCACGCGCCGAAAGCGTCACAGCGAAACGTTAAAGACCCAGCGACGTCATTGGCACGAGTTGTGTGCAGGCGTCACTGTAGCAATTTTTTTCAGTAATTAATTCCCTTCCCAATTCTAAGAAGAGAAACAAAATCCCACCGCAAAATCCCCAATTGGGATGACGCGACACTCGACGGCAGAATAGCAGCAGCAGCATCGCAAATCTGCTGCGACAAAACCTGGCAGGACCCTCCTGAGAGTCTTGAGACTTGGCGAGGCTTACCTGGGCAGCAACAACAACAATAACAACACAGATCCAGTGGACAGTGTTCACGTGGGGCGAGCTGCGGTCCAATTGCTACCGCACAGACAAATGCAAAGCTCCCATCAGTTTGTCTCCACGGCCATTTAAAACGCAAACTATTATTTGGCGATGCTGCTGCGTTGGTGGACACACGCGCAGAGTCAGTGACAACAACGGCAACTCACATCCCGTGTCAACAACACTCTGTGTGTGGCCTTTAAACTGGGACAAAGTATATAACAGGAGACGACGTTTCGGGCAATGGCCCTTCTTCGCAGCACATAGGCCAGAGAGGTCGTGTATATACCTCTCTGCTCTCTGCTCTGTGCGCGCTTTGCAGAAGGGACATTACGCCAAACGTCAGCTGCTATGTAAATACGTTTCATTCTAAGCGTTATCGGCGGACGTGTCGCGTTATCCACCGTACCGATTACGCAACCGTTTCACATTCACCAGGACCCTGGGTGATCGAACCGAGACTTTGCGAGGTCGCCTGCGTGATGGTTCCTGTTCCTCACGACCCCCCCCCCAACCCGCTACTTCGCTTTTACCCCCCCCCCCCCGGCACCCACGCGCGCGTCACCACCACCGACTGGAAAGTTACTGCGGGAGCTATGAATTTAAAAAAATATTAAATCAGCTTCGAATTTCTTTTTTTAACGAACCCGGCAACCCAACCCCGCGTCTCGCCCGCCGCCGGCTATTTGTAGAAAGATGTAAATGCGATTACGTAATATGGGTGAACAATGGGGGGGAGGGGGGGTTGGCGGATTACATGGAATTACGTCACAAACTCCAGCAAGTCCACACCCGCCGCGCTAACCACTGCGCCACCGCTCCTCAACCGCGTAGCAGGTCACAGCGTGGTGGGGGAGCTGTGGCGCTCGTGGCGAGCGCTACGGAACCCGACGAGATCCATTCTCGCTCACGACGAGCATCCGTGGCGAGTGAGAGCTGTGAAGCGGCCGCGCTGCGAGTCGCACCACCGCCCCCCCCCAGCCCCCGCTCACCAAGCCGCTCTGCCCCGCGCGGTGAAGTATGGCCAACAGCTCCCCACGGCCAACACGGCATGCATGGGACGTCTTGATCCAGCAGCGAGACAGACAATGACGTGGTGGTGGTGGTGGTGGTACACCGATAGCAGTCATGCTGAAGTGGCCACGAGTCGTCATCTATCCACTGCTGGATGGTCTCCCCCAGTCTCTCTCCACCGCTGGATGAAGGCCTCCACACAACCTTCGCCATCTCAATAGATCTCGCGATTCCACGCTCCGCGTCCCTCTCGCCCCTGCACTCACACCACGCGCCGCTCCATCTCCCCGGCGCGCCTCCCCTCGGGCGCGCTCTCCCCTCCTCGCGCTGCCGCTCACTCGGCCGGCCTCGGCCGCCGGGGGCCTCCCCCCAGCGTCCCCTCGCTGGGCAACGACGCCTCGTGCCCCGCGCCGCCTCGTGCCCCGCGCCGCCTCGTGCCCCGCGCCGCCTCGTGCCCCGCGCCGCCTCGTGCCCCGCGCCGCCTCGTGCCCCGCGCCGCCTCGTGCCCCGCGCCGCCTCGTGCCCCGCGCCGCCTCGTGCCCCGCGCCGCCTCGTGCCCCGCGCCGCCTCGTGCCCCGCGCCGCCTCGTGCCCCGCGCCGCCTCGTGCCCAGTGGCCGCTGCTCGCGTTGCCCAAGTGGGCACCACGAGGGGCGTCCCCACAAGCACGGCGGCGGCGGCGGTGGCGCGCCCCTCCATCCCCTCTCGCAAGACCACCCCTCGCGTGTGCATCTCTCTCAGCGTCACCGTCAGCGGCTATCTACTGCTGGATGAAGGTCACGAGGAAGAGGTCTCGAACGCCGCGTGCTCTCTGCTCCGTGTGCTCCTCGGTCTGCCTCTTGGTATGATCGTGTCTCACTCGTCTCAATAATAGAAACAAACAACCCCGTTAAGAGTCGCGGCCCTGCAATTGCTCGATGGCGTCTTATCGGCATAAACACCCTGCTCCGCCCCACCCAATTAGACTGTCTGTCCGTCTGGCAGACGAGATGGTGGCGGATGGGATTCCACGAGGTTGCAATGGGGTTTGTTTCAAACGCCGCGCCGGGGAGATAGAGTGGACAGGCGGGCGACCTCTGGAATGAAGGTCCAGCGTGCGGACCATTGCCCCACGGCGCATCTCCCCCCAGTACCACCGACAGTGCAGCGATGGTAAAATGGGGCTGCCCTATCGATAACGTCTCTAGGACTTTACCCCGGGGACAGAACAGAAGACCCCGGAGCCCATGGAAAATAATATATATACAATATATATAAAAACATATATATAATATATATATAAATGTTTTTATATATTTATATACATATAAATATATAAACCCCCTTTAGGACCCCGCACTGACCCCATACAGCTCCCAGGACGACCCCAAAAAAGGCACCAAAATACGAGACAGACGTTTTGTTTCAGGCCAAGTGTACCCAAAGGGAGTCCAGCCCAGGCACGCACGCACCCTCCCGTCGTATCCCCACCGCTCCCCCCCATCCCAAGATCTCGTGAGGACCTCGCTCAATGCGAGTGGCGTGTCTCCACTGTGCACCTCGCAGCGCCACAACTTCTCTGGACGTCACGTGGCGCGGTCTTCACCTGGCCGCCTGGGGTTCTGGATTCTGCTCGGGGCAACCATTCCACAAAATAAAAACTTTTTATTTTATCTTATTTGACCAGCTCAGGTCCCACTTGAGCTATAGAGCTCGTTTTCAGAAGCGGCCTGGCTACAAATGAAACTCAAGCAATTGGCTTGTCATGTGGAAGTTTATAGCAGCCAAATACTCGAAACGAATGTTAATTTTAAAAAATGTGGAGGGAAAACCCGGAGGACCCGGGGAAAATGTCACGCTACCGCGGGGAGAGAAACATGCAAACTCTAAAGATACAGCAGCAGGCGTCAGGGTTAGAACCCACGACCTCCTGTATATCAGACGAGGGAATTAACATCTCGCCACCATGGCGCCCCACTCTCTCTCTCCTCCCTCACAATCTCTCTTGCCCACTCGCACCCTCCATCTCTCTCTCACGAACGACAGCACCGACAACCGGCGCCGTTCGCTTGCGCCAGGCGAGGTGCACATTGAGGCCACGTCAAGTGTCGAAGGCTCGCTGCTGGCAGGAGATCACGGGACAGACCCAGCAGGTGCCATAGTGCGACTGACTAAGATGGCTGGCAGATGCACCACCTGTGCCCCCTACTGTGCCAACTTGCTGTGTTTTGGCCGCCCGGCGCTCCGTCCGTTGTTGTGAGCGTCGCTCCTCCGCCCTCCGTTATTACTGGAGGGCGACTGCCTTCAACTGCCCAGCAGCAGCGTCCTTCACGAGCCTCCTCCACAGAGGCCGATCTTGACACCGCTGGTACCAGTCATCGGCAAGTCCACTCAGCTCCACATTCTCCTGTACCACATTAATCCATCTCTACTCTAGCCCGTGCCCCGCCCGTCTAACCCCCTCCTCTCGCCGGCTAAACAGAAGCTGCTTTTGGGCAACCGGTGGCTGCGGCATGTCGGCCACATGCGCCTGCCAACGTATTTTCGCATGCCGGAGGAGTTCTCTAATGATGGGACTATGTCCAGATCGTTAAATGATTTGTAAGCTCCTCACACAATCCAGCCTGGGTGAGACCCAGCCTGGATGATCGTGGGCGGGTTGGCCTGAAAATGTTTCAAACGGGCGCAGACGTTCATTCAGGGGGTGCCCAGATTTCGCAGCAATAGAGAAGAGAGGGCTCACGGCTGTGGCCGAGACGACATGGATGTCACACACTTGCATACATAATAATAGTTTACATTTATAAAGCGCCCTTTTAAAGAATAATTGTAAGGGCGCTTTGCATGAAAGGGTGGGAAAAGGTTAAACATCAACCAAGGAAAGATGGGAGAACAAGCCATTTTATACAGCCATGTTCTTAGTCGACATTTGAAGATGTGCAGCGTCTCGGAAGCCCCCGGACCTCCAAGCGGCAACGAGTCCCAGAGTTGAGTTGCCGCAATTGCAAAGACAACGATCACCCCCCCCCCCCCCCAAGTGTGAAGCCTTAGAGACCGTGGGACAGCGAGCAATGCACAATCTGAGGATCTTAATGAGATATCCGTGGCTGAAGGAGGTCACGAATGCAGGGGAGGAGCAAGTCCATGCAAGGCCTTGAATACGAGCGAGAGGATCGTCAAGTGAGCACGGGGCGCGGTCAGGGCGCCGTGAAGGGGCAGCAGCACGCGCCGTGAAGGGGCAGCAGCACGCGCCGTGAAGGGGCAGCAGCACGCGCCGTGAAGGGCAGCAGCACGCGCCGGTGGCGGGAGTCGCGAACCTCCAAGGGTCGCGTCTGTACCAGTCGCAACCTGGCGGCCGCATTTTTGAACACCCCTCGCCCTCTCGCACGGACAACATGACCACGACTCTCTCTCTTCTCCGCACTTACTCGCTCCATCTCTCCCCCCTCTCTCCATCCTCCCCCCCTCCTCTCACCATGCCCCCCTCCCTCCTCTCACCATGCCCCCCCCCCTCTCTCTCTCCCCATGTCTCCCCTCTCTCCAGCTCCCCCACCTCTCGCTCTCCATATCCCTCCCGCCCCCTGCAGACACGCGGCCCGTGCACTACTCACGGATCTTGGCCACGCTGGCCACGAGTATCCACACGGCGATGATGTAGGGGTCCTTGACGTGCTCCCACTGGAACGACACCACCTGGTAGCCCGTGGGCCTCTCGTGCCCGCCGCTGCCGTGGCCCCCCGCCCCGCACGATGCGTCCTGGGTGGGGTGAGTCTCAGAGCCCCCCGCTCCGTTCGAGTCTTCGTGCGTGGGGGGCTCGTGCGGCGCGCCCGTCGCCTGGTGGGGGTCGGATGCTCCCCCGGCTCTCGGCGCTCGGTTCGCCGCGGTGGTTGTTGTGGTTGTTGTTGTGGTTGTTGCTGCTGCTGCGGTGGTGATGCTGGTGGTGGTGGCTGCGGCCACTCCGTGGGGGGACCCCAGTTGCCCGCCCCGCGTCGAGGAGCCCCCCTCGATCGCGGCTGCCGGGCCACGCGGAGTGGCGGCACCGGCATTGGCCTCGCTGCCCGAGATCATCAACATCATCAGCAGCAGCGTCATCATCAGCAGCTTCGGTATCGTGGGCGTCGTGCGCAGATGACGACGACGATGATGATGATGAGGATGATGAGGCGCAGCTGAGAGCCATTCCGCAGCACGCATGGCCGCGCGTGTGCTCGCTAGCAGCACTTGCCCCAACAGCCGACGTCGTCAGCCTAGACGGGGGAAGCTTTGCCTTTGTGCTGTCTACCCGTCCGTGCGTGCCTGCGTGCCTATACAGGTGTGCGTGTCAGTGTGCGTGTCAGTGTGCGTGTGTGTGTGTCAGCGTGTGTGTGTCAGCGTGTGTGTGTGTCAGCGTGTGTGTGTGTCAGTGTGTCTCATAGAACTGCACTCGAGCGGAGCCACAGGTGTCACCATCCGACACCCAGTGTAAAGCCCTCTCGTTCCTCCTCCTCCTCCTAATCACAGCAATCACTGCGGCGGCAGTGACTACAACTCGCGTGGCCAGTGTCTCGTTCACAACTATACACGTCGCTTGATGCTGTTGCTGATGATGTTGCTGATGATGTTGCTTCTGCTTCTGATGATGATGTTGCTGATGATGTTGCTTCTGCTTCTGATGATGATGCTGCTGCTGATTGAGACGAGAAGACATCTGGTACCCGCACGGCGCCCCTCGCTTTTATACTCAACACCTGCACAGACAGACACCTGCACTCCCACACAGCGCACTCACCCCGCCCTCTCCTCCTCCTCCACTCACTCCCCACCGGGGCGGGGGGGGGGTAAGCGGACAGACGCGGAGCCAATCGCACGATCCGTGATTGTGTTGGCAGCGATGCCGCGGCGCGAGTTAAGTCATTGACGGCTGTAAAATAATGGAGTAGCGGGCGTCCCCCCTCCCCTCCTACCCCCACCCCTCCCCTCCTACCCCCACCCACCCCTCCTACCCCCACCCCTCCTACCCCCACCCCTCCTACCCCCACCCTCCCCTCCTACCCCCACCCCTCCCCTCCTACCCCCACCCCTCCTACCCCACCCCTCCTACCCCCCACCCCTCCTACCCCCACCCTCCCCTCCTACCCCACCCCTCCTACCCCCCCTCCTACCCCTACCCCTCCTACCCCCACCCTCCCCTCCTACCCCCACCCCTCCTACGCCCACCCCACCCCTCCTACCCCTATTCACCCCCCCCCCTTCACGGGAGTGTGCGGGTTTGGCCCAAAGTCACCCCCCCCCCAACCCTCGTTACAAACGAAGGTCACTCGCGGTTGTGTTCTAGTGAGCGGCGTCATCGGCTCTTTGTGGGACTGATCAGTGAGCCGGGCACGGACATTGGCAAGCAGCTCGGATCGTGTTGGTAGCGGGGAGATCATGAGTGAAATTCGCCCATACGTGCGGAATGCCAAGCAGATCCAATAGTATGTATGTGAGTTGGACTTCTTCCACACCGTACGTAGCCAACCGGGCCAATCGGAGGTTGTTGTATAGATTTGACGAGCCGTCTGGTGTTCAACATTTTGCTCCCTCTCCACCTGCTCGGAGCATCATCAGAAATTATATGAAATAAAAACCCAGTTCCCAATGTTCCCGATGTAGCTCCCAGCACGTGAAGCGAAACGTCGGACATCGTGCGGCATGACGCGCGGCGGGTGGAGCTCAGAGCCGACAGGCGGCGGAGAGCCACTCGCCGCCACGTGACGAGCGGAGTCTTCCTCGGCGTCGGGACTCATCGGTGAGCCGTGCCCAGAGGTTGGGCTGCCCAGAATAGCGCCAGAGGGTTGTTCGTGTCATCGTGGTCACTGGGGCTCATCACGGCGCATGCCCAGACGTCATCCCCGTCAGTGTGAGCATGACGTTGGGAGGAGAGGGTTGGTGGATCACGCAAAGATTTGTTGATTTAAAAAAAAACTCCCAAAGCCGCCGAGACTGCGAGGTGGTGGTCAGGAGATGGCAGGACAGAAAGTGGTGGGTTCCTGTGCCCATCTGTGCGGAACTGCCCCCCCCCCCCCCTCGTGTGCAACGAGCCAATCGCTCATCATGACGTGATGCAGCTCTCAGAGCCACCGTCTTGTCCTTGAGATATTTATCACGAATAAGGTCCAGTGACAACTTCACGAGTAACCGCGAGTGGCTCGAAACACTTGGGCAACGTAGACGACGCAACTCCAGCCCTTCAAGACGACGAGGTGCCCACTCCACGATGACGAAGACGACCCGCCCCTACTCCCCAACTCTCGCTCAGCGCACGTGGCCCTGTCTCCCCCTCTGCCCTGATTACCATTCACGACCGTGGGGTCACGTGCTTCCCCTCACGTGACCCTGTCGACGCTTGTCCCATCAATCACCACTCAGGTCCCACGTTACCCGAACGTGACGCTGTCCCTACATCGCCCAGGACTGTCGCTACATCACCCAGGACTGTCCCTACATCACCCAGGACTGTCGCTACACCACCCAGGACTGTCCCTACATCACCCAGGACTGTCCCTACATCACCCAGGACTGTCGCTACATCACCCAGGACTGTCGCTACATCACTCAGGACTGTCCCTACATCACCCAGGACTGTCGCTACATCACCCAGGACTGTCGCTACACCACCCAGGACTGTCCCTACATCACCCAGGACTGTCGCTACATCACCCAGGACTGTCGCTACACGACCCAGGACTGTCGTTACACCACCCAGGACTGTCGCTACATCACCCAGGACTGTCGCTACATCACCCAGGACTGTCGCTACATCACCCAGGACTGTCGCTATATCACCCAGGACTGTCCCTACACCACCCAGGACTGTCGCTACACCACCCAGGACTGTCGCTACACCACCCAGGACTGTCGCTACACCACCCAGGACTGTCGCTACACCACCCAGGACTGTCGCTACATCACCCAGGACTGTCGCTATATCACCCAGGACTGTCCCTACATCACCCAGGACTGTCCCTACATCACCCAGGACTGTCGCTACATCACCCAGGACTGTCCCTACATCACCTAGGACTGTCCCTACATCACACAGGACTGTCCCTACATCACCCAGGACTGTCCCTACATCACCTAGGACTGTCGCTACATCACCCAGGACTGTCGCTATATCACCCAGGACTGTCGCTACATCACCCAGGACTGTCGCTATATCACCCAGGACTGTCCCTACACCACCCAGGACTGTCGCTACACCACCCAGGACTGTCGCTACACCACCCAGGACTGTCGCTACACCACCCAGGACTGTCGCTACACCACCCAGGACTGTCGCTACATCACCCAGGACTGTCGCTATATCACCCAGGACTGTCCCTACATCACCCAGGACTGTCCCTACATCACCCAGGACTGTCGCTACATCACCCAGGACTGTCCCTACATCACCCAGGACTGTCCCTACATCACCCAGGACTGTCCCTACATCACCCAGGACTGTCCCTACATCACCCAGGACTGTCCCTACATCACCCAGGACTGTCCCTACATCACCCAGGACTGTCCCTACATCACCCAGGACTGTCCCTACATCACCCAGGACTGTCCCTACATCACCCAGGACTGTCCCTACATCACCCAGGACTGTCCCTACATCACCCAGGACTGTCCCTACATCACCCAGGACTGTCCCTACATCACCCAGGACTGTCCCTACATCACCCAGGACTGTCCCTACATCACCCAGGACTGTCCCTACATCACCCAGGACTCTCCCTACATCACCCAGGACTGTCCCTACATCACCCAGGACTGTCCCTACATCACCCAGGACTGTCCCTACATCACCCAGGACTGTCCCTACATCACACAGGACTGTCCCTACATCACCCAGGACTGTCGCTACATCACCCAGGACTGTCCCTACATCACCCAGGACTGTCGCTACATCACCCAGGACTGTCGCTACATCACCCAGGACTGTCCCTACATCACCCAGGACTGTCCCTACATCACCCAGGACTGTCCCTACATCACCCAGGACTGTCGCTACATCACCCAGGACTGTCGCTACATCACCCAGGACTGTCCCTACATCACCCAGGACTGTCGCTACATCACCCAGGACTGTCCCTACATCACCCAGGACTGTCGCTACATCACCCAGGACTGTCCCTACATCACCCAGGACTGTCGCTACATCACCCAGGACTGTCGCTACATCACCCAGGACTGTCGCTACATCACCCAGGACTGTCCCTACATCACCCAGGACTGTCGCTACATCACCCAGGACTGTCCCTACATCACCCAGGACTGTCCCTACATCACCCAGGACTGTCCCTACATCACCCAGGACTGTCGCTACATCACCCAGGACTGTCCCTACATCACCCAGGACTGTCGCTACATCACCCAGGACTGTCCCTACATCACCCAGGACTGTCGCTACATCACCCAGGACTGTCCCTACATCACCCAGGACTGTCCCTACATCACCCAGGACTGTCCCTACATCACCCAGGACTCTCCCTACATCACCCAGGACTGTCCCTACATCACCCAGGACTGTCCCTACATCACCCAGGACTGTCCCTACATCACCCAGGACTGTCCCTACATCACCCAGGACTGTCCCTACATCACCCAGGACTGTCCCTACATCACCCAGGACTGTCGCTACATCACCCAGGACTGTCCCTACATCACCCAGGACTGTCGCTACATCACCCAGGACTGTCCCTACATCACCCAGGACTGTCCCTACATCACCCAGGACTGTCCCTACATCACCCAGGACTGTCCCTACATCACCCAGGACTGTCGCTACATCACCCAGGACTGTCGCTACATCACCCAGGACTGTCCCTACATCACCCAGGACTGTTGCTACATCACCCAGGACTGTCCCTACATCACCCAGGACTCTCCCTACATCACCCAGGACTGTCCCTACATCACACAGGACTGTCCCTACATCACCCAGGACTGTCCCTACATCACCCAGGACTGTCGCTACATCACCCAGGACTGTCCCTACATCACCCAGGACTCTCCCTACATCACCCAGGACTGTCCCTACATCACACAGGACTGTCCCTACATCACCCAGGACTGTCCCCTACATCACCCAGGACTGTCCCTACATCACACAGGACTGTCCCCTACATCACCCAGGACTGTCCCTACATCACCCAGGACTGTCCCTACATCACCCAGGACTGTCCCTACATCACACAGGACTGTCGCTACATCACCCAGGACTGTCCCTACATCACCCAGGACTGTCCCTACATCACACAGGACTGTCCCTACATCACCCAGGACTGTCCCTACATCACCCAGGACTGTCCCTACATCACCCAGGACTGTCCCTACATCACCCAGGACTGTCCCTACATCACCCAGGACTGTCCCTACATCACCCAGGACTGTCCCTACATCACACAGGACTGTCCCTACATCACCCAGGACTGTCGCTACATCACCCAGGACTGTCCCTACATCACCCAGGACTGTCCCTACATCACCCAGGACTGTCCCTACATCACCCAGGACTGTCCCTACATCACACAGGACTGTCGCTACATCACCTAGGACTGTCCCTACATCACCCAGGACTGTCCCTACATCACACAGGACTGTCCCTACATCACCCAGGACTGTCCCTACATCACCCAGGACTGTCCTTACAATGATATAGGGGGG